CAGAACTGACCCACCACGATGCTTCAAAATGAGGAGCATGATATTCGGCGCAGCCAGCTCCCCATTCATGGCTCACACAGTCCGCAACCACAATGCGATCATGCACGCAGAGACCCATCCGCGAGCATTAGTGGCAATTACTCAAAGCCACTACATGGACGACCTGGTGGACAGCTACGACAGTGAACACGAAGCTCGCGCCACCATACAAGAGCTACGTGAAGTACACGCAGCGGCCAGTTTCACGCTAAGGCGCTGGAGCTCAAGCCATCCGAACGTGCTGCGCGACGTCCCGACAGAACTCAGAGCAACTACGCCCACCGCGCTCGGGACGATCGAGAGTATGGAAAACAAGATCCTGGGACTCTACTGGAACCCGCAAACAGATGAACTCGGTTTCGACACAGCCATGAACCGGGTCCCAGCCGAGGTGCGCAACCAAAGCCGCGCACCCACCAAGAGAGAAACACTCAGTGCGGTCATGTCGATCTATGACCCGCTGGGACTGCTAAGCCATTACACGATCAGAGCAAAGATCGTGCTTCAAAACCTATGGCGACTAGAAATACCATGGGACGAGCCGATCCCTGCGGAAGAAGCCGAACTCTTCGCATCCTGGCTGCGACAACTGAACGAAATCGCACGCCTGCACCTGCACCGGAACTACGCCCTGGAGAACCATGAGCACACTGAACTACATGTGTTCTGCGACGCGAGCGAACAAGCGTACGCTGCTGTGGCCTACTGGAGGGTTGTACACCAAGACGGTAGCGCGAAAGTGACCCTAGTTGGAGCAAAGGCTAAGGTGGCACCACGGCGTACACAAAGCATCCCGCGCCTTGAACTACAGGCTGCACTCATCGGAGCAAGACTCGCCGACACTATCAGGCGCGAACACCGCATCGAGATAAAGAAGACCATCTATTGGACGGACTCATCAACCGTAGTCCACTGGGTGCGTAACGACGCGCGACGATACACTCCATTCGTTGCACATCGGCTAGGAGAGATCGCCGAACTCACGCACAAAGACGAGTGGCGTTGGCTGCCGACCGCTGACAACCCAGCCGACGATGCCACAAGACAAAGCCAGACTCCAGTACGCATGGAAGACCGATGGTTCCAAGGACCCGGATTCCTACACGAACCAGAGGACCGGTGGCCCACAGAACAGGAACCTCATGAAGATGCAGAGGAAGTCCTGCACCTGAGCCAGCAGGACGAGAGCCACTTCGACTGGATGCCTGACCCGACCCGCTTCTCGAGATTCGAGACGCTAGTAAGAGCAACCGCGAACGTACTGGCTTTCACAGACATCTGCCGGAAGCGAGCGACCCGCATGGAGCTACAGCACATAGAACGCGCCGAACGAGCTCTCATGCAACGAGCACAGGAGGACGACTTTGGAGACGAGCTGAAGAGGATCAAAGCAGTTCGCCCAATCCCTAGAACGAGTCGTCTGTACAAGCTGGACCCCGTAATCGACGACGGCCTCCTGCGAGTACGAGGACGCATTGGAGCCTCAAGTGCGCCCTCCGACGCAAAACGACCTATCATCCTAGACGGTCGTCACCCCATCACGCGACTCATCGTATTGCGAGAACACGCCGCAGCAGGACACGCTAACAGAGAGCGAGTAACGAACGATCTACGACAGCGATACTGGATCATACGGCTACGACCCACCGTACGCGCCGTCGAGTATAGCTGCGCCCTCTGCCGGGTCACAAGGTCTAGGCCCAGAGCACCAGCCACAGGAGACCTGCCACGCGCCCGCCTCGATCCATTCCACCGCCCCTTCACGAACTGCGGGGTAGACTACTTCGGGCCCATTACTGTAAAAGTGGGACGCCGCCGAGAGAAAAGGTGGGGCGCACTATTTACCTGCCTCACCACACGAGCCGTTCACCTCGAGCTTGTCGCTTCTCTCTCTACGGATTCGGCACTAATGGCGTTGAGACGAATGGCAGCACGCCGCGGATGGCCGCGACTGATGTACTCAGACAACGCAACCAACTTCCGCGGCGCCGATCAAGAACTGAAAGCCGCATACGCCGAATGGGCACCCGCCCTAAGAGACGAAGGACTGACCCGGCGTATGGAATGGCGCTACATAGCACCTGGCGCCCCGAACCAAGGAGGCGCATGGGAACGCATGGTGCGCTCTGTCAAGACAGCGCTACAAGCAACGCTTCGAGAAAAGGCACCATCAGACGAAGTGCTAAGAACCCTCCTGACCGAAGCCGAATATTCGATCAATGCTCGGCCCCTAACGCACGTGAGTGTGGACCCTCGCGACCCCGAGGCCCTCACGCCGAACCATTTTTTGCTGGGATCTTCAACGGGTCTACCGAGAACAGGACCCTGTGACGAAGCCGACAGACGAACCTGGCGTACTAGCCAAGCACTCGCAGACCAATTCTGGAGACGCTGGGTACGGGAGTACTTGCCGACCCTAGTACCGCGAGGAGAACCAGCTAGAAAGAATGACACGTCAAAACTACAAGCCGGCGACATACTGGTTGTCGTCGACAGCACGCTACCGAGGAACGTATGGCCAATGGGAAGGGTAGAACGTACGTACCCTGGGCCTGACGGCAGCGTACGAGTCGCCGATGTCAGAACGAAGACCGGCGTCTTCAAAAGGCCAACATCAAAGCTCGTCGTCCTACTAAAGGAAGAGGAGGCTACGCAAAGCTGCGCCGGGGGGAGAGATGTTGCGGACACCGAGCTACATAATCCGCGCCGACCGCCTACTCGCCAACCACTGTACTAGATGAGAGAATTCCCCGCGCCCCGCACTCCGCGCCGACCGCCTACTCGCCAACCACTGTACTAGATAAGAGAGTGAAATTGGTATTTAAGTAGGAACATTTTTGGTAATAAACACGGATTGAATCCACTTTAATCAAGAGTTTTCATTTGCGATCCAGATCAAGAACCTGAACAATACAGTCCACCGAACAAGAGCTAGAACACCAACAGGTATTATAAATTCTTATTTTTCGATTTATTTATTTTAAGAGGCGATCATAATCTTTAAAATTTTAAGAAAAGTCTGCTGTTGACAAAAAACAGCAGTCTTATACATTTTTATTCAAGCAGGTAATTGTCATGACTTTTTTTAGGAATTGAACGGAACGTATACGAATAATTTGTTCGTTTTCATGGGTAAAACGATGGTTTTTACTATCGAGTATATAACCAGAAATAGAGACGAAATGTCATTTCATTTGTTTGAAAATTATTCTGCCAAGTCATTACTGTGACAACTACGCTCCGATTGACCAACCCGAATTCTAAACAATTGACGTATGTCGTCAATTGTTTCACTTCAAATCTACCAATAGAGCTTTGCTATAATGGACGAAAATTGAAAAATTACATATTTAATATTTAATTACCGATGAAATGTGATTCTGTTTGTTTTGTAATTAGATGTTTTGCTGTTTTTCCCACACCACCGAATGGAACAGCCCCCCATAGTTAGAGATATTATCGTTATTACAATACATACAGAATATATTTGGAATATACGGAGACGTAGACACAGGTCAGTTGTTAGCATTTCAGCTTTCTAATTTGTTCAGTTTGATTTCAGTGCAAACGAGAGTTGATATTTAAAATTGATATACGGCCTATTTGCCTGATGAGTTGCCAAGGATGGTTGGCCTTCCCTTATTTTACCTCTATTTCTGGTTATATACTCGATGGTTTTTACTTATCTACGTCTAATTCTCTTGCGCCCCTAAAATGTAATAAAAAAGAAACTTCTGCATTTATCTACTCTACTGATCTCGTAATTGAGAGACGTACTTGCATTCTGGAACTTCGGATCTCCGTAAAACTGTTTCAGGCTGTTTTTGTTTCTAGTTTTATTTGAAAGAAAGAGATTTCTTGTTTCTTAATGCTCAAATACAAGAAATGTTTGAGCTGATAAATATAGAAGAACTGATGCATTATCATTTCGTTTCTTGCACTTTCTTGTTTACTTAGAGCGTGGGCCCGAAGATGAAGATAATTTGGCTCAATGTCAGATTATGTGAGTCTCAAATCAGCTTACATTAAATGATTTCACAGAAATAACTTTTTTTTTATAAAAAATAAGTGCACATCTCACCTGATGGAAAGTGACGATGAGGTCGATGATGTAGCATACACACCTAAACAATGCCTATTCAATCTCGCCTTGAATAGGTCCAAGTTATAAAGCTCAGGGAACAAGTCTGCAGGCAGGGAATTCCACTCCATAGCCGTTCGCCATATGAATGTGGAAGCGAAACGCTTCGCGCGAATCCTTGCAATAGCCACATCATAGGGGTGGAACACCAGCCTACGCCTAGTTCCCAGATGGAAAGGGGAAGGCGGAATCAAATTATGCAATTCCATCGTACACTCTTCGTGATATATCATAAAATGATTGTTATGTCTCTAAGATGACTTTGATGACATTTCATATTCATGCGATTTAAATCCGATAAAATAGTTTCATTAGTTGTTTGAATTTTGAACAACATTTCGAACACATTTACAAGACACTTGGTACATAAACACATTGACGACACACACAAAGACGCACGGTATACAGTTAAGCAAAATAAACAGCGCACCATCAAATACAATAACACTATTTAACTTTAAATAACGCTTTAAAACAATGTTTTTAAAGAATCTTACCTATAAACATTAATTAAGTGCTAAATTATTGATTAATTTGTTGTTTAAATAGCTGTCAACTTAAACACCCTAGGAACCTTGTTTAGCTCGCTAACTAACAAGATGGCTGACATTAATCAGTTGTTAGCAGGTTAGAAAACGTCAATGAATTAAGCAGATTTGTTTTGATTTTTATTGTGACAAAATTTTTACTTGAATATTGAAAAAATAGAAAATTTTCGGCGTGATATAGCAGATTTGCCGTGCTTTAGACGGAGGCGCGCAAAGAACAAGAAACGATACAATGCACTGCTCCAGTTAGATGAACATGAATTTAAGAAACGATATCGTTTTTCTAAAAAAACTATGTTAAAGATAATGAGTTTGTTAGTATTTGTTTTTAATACAATTTTTAGATTTTCGCTCCAAATCTCAAATGACAGCCGTCTGACAGCAATTTTTTTTCTGTTTTTTTGGCTTTCTACAGCTTGATTTAATCTTCTAATATTGCCATGGTAATTATTTTTTCTTCATTAAACATTGCTTAACTAAGCAGTATTTAACTTTTGTAGTGCTCAAAATCTTAAATAATGCTTAACTAAATATTGATTAAACGGATGTTTAGTTGTTTTTTACTCCACTCCTTTGCATGAGCTAATTTTGTATCCTAGAACCCTTTAGGCCTTTAGGCTTTTCACGGTCCGTGGTTTCACCGATCATCTCGCACGAGCTCACACACCAAAGAAAGAGGCTTGTGCTGGTGAAATTACAGGCACAACGGGCTTTTCAACTTATGTCTCAGGGTGACAGGTGTAGTAGCAGTGCCCCCAGATTTTTATGATTTAAAGCTCTGAGTAGCACTGCAACAGTTATGGACAGGCTTGTCGCTTACCACCAGGCGCACGACTTATTTGTCCCGTCACAGATATCGTAAAAAAAAATATTTATTTAGAAATTATTCTAGCAGGATGTATTCGTTTGTGTACTATATTTTGATTGATTTTCGTATAGAATCAATAAAAAAAATTAAAATTAAAATTAAAATTAAATTAATTTCTTTCGGGTGACGCTGACCCATATCAAAATAAATTACATTAAAATTATATAGGTACCTATAGTTAAGATCAAAGTAATATAATCCGACTTAAAAAGTCAATAAAAAGTTATAAAAATAAAATAAAACAAAATCGAAATAAAATAAAAAAAAGCCAAAATTTTAATTCAAATTACAAGTACAGATAATAAAATAACTGTATTATTGATGTCTAAATCAATTGCCTCCATAACCGGCACCACAGCGGGCATATTTATCACAACAATGCCGAATATACGGGCAATCTAACCTGCCAGCTTTCATTAGGACTGTCCCGCACTCATATCATCACTGGTGCGCACCTTTTGTGCATCGTTGTGTGGAAGCAGTCGGTGCATGCCGCCGCGAACATACCCGAGCCCCTGTAGGAGCGAGGCAGCCCCAATAACGCTCTAAACGCATTGTTGAATTGCACACGGAGTATGCTGCGCGCTCTTTGCGAATATTTGCCAAAAATGCAGCCAAAAAGCTCGGCATCCTTTCCAGTGTGAACTTTACTGGCGTTACTTCACACCGGGACAGTTCTTTAGCTGTACCAAGCACAATGCCGGTCGTGTATGGAGTACTGCTGCCACATTTGGGATGGCTCTACTATATACCAACTGGCCACCTTGGATTGAATTGATAAGCACGCCAAGAGGCTTATAGGTGACTCAGAATTAGTAGAGGCGAAGCTGCAAAGTCTTGAACACTGCCGTAAAGTTGCCTGCTTATCAGTATTCCACAAGATATATCACGGAGAGTGTGCGAGGGAATTGCACGAATTAATTCCACCTTCCCCTTTCCATCATCGGGGGACCAGGCGTAAGCTGGGGTTCCACCCCTATGTTGTGGATATTCCCAAGATTCGCACAAAGCGTTTCGCTTCCACTTTTATATGGCGAACGGCTATGGAGTGGAATTCCCTGCCTGCGGACTTGTTCCCTGAACGTTACAACTTGGACCTTTGCAAGACGAAAGTGAATTGGCATTATTTAGTTTAGGTGTGCATGCTATATCTTCAACTTCATCGTCATTTTCCATCAGGTGAGATGGAAGTCAAATGCGCACTTAGTTATTTAGTAAAAAAATAAAAACAAAAAAATTGGCCCACAGTACGCATTACGCACGAGTGACCTTCACCTCTACTGAACTCCACGCAACCTTGCGAGCCAACATATTCTCTCTCCTAGACAACACCCTCCGCTCACATTCCATATTATATAATAAACCTACTTTCTTTAAATCTGTGTCATTGCACCGATAAAAGGGTAAACCAGAAATACATCTCTCAAAATCTTAAGTAATAAATACAACCCCAATACTCGATTGCACTCGAAATTTGGCACTTCATTTTTATAACCCAGCTCCCACTGCTCATTTTGCAGTGCCCTTTTGCCGTACCGTACTTGAATTTCTCAAGTAAATGAAAGCGCCGGTTGTGTCAGGCCTGGGTTTGACCTTTATATTACTGGGTGCTAATCTTTGTATAGGTCAACCAATATGTTATAACCGAGTATTTAATTATATTTTTTTTAATTATAAAAAAAAGGTTTATGACTGCCATCCGTGGCCGAACGGTTATCATGTACTCTGCCACGCTCAGGTCCCAGAGGACTCAGAGGTTGAAATCGTGCATTCGGCGTGAAACAAAAATAGGTCCGTTGTACTTAACCCTGTAATTGGCAACCCACGCCAGAGCATTACAGTAGCATGCGCGGCCGTTTCCTCCCCCTCTATGCACTTGTAATCAGATTTATTTTCGACAACACACAATAGCGCGTGAGACAAGTTTTTATTCCCCACCCAAAATCTTAACAAACAAAACTATTCTTCAACAGCAGTGACACCTAGCGGCGTAATTGGTAACCACAACATTAAAATGTCTGTGAAATAACTTTCAATAGAAGTACTTCTAATTATAAAAGATAATTACAATATTTATATATCATTACATATGATCAGTATTTAATACTTGATTAATTAAATAACAATAATTGAATATTATGGCTATTTAATTAGTACAATATGATTCATAGTTCCAGAAA